GTTGTAATTATTGAAAAAGCAAACAAAATGACCACTGTCAGGTATTCATATGTTCAACTGACAATAATGATTGACTTAACATAGTACATTGTCTCTTAGGCTGGCGGTGTAATGCTTTACATACGCAAATGTACATGCTGGAGGGGATATCGAGATGGAACATGGGCCGGGCCAAGGAGGCAGTAGATGTGGAGGGGGCCTCCACCCTAAGAAGCTTCGATGTTCGCTTGATTTCCCACCTTAACAACTTGAGCCAGCGCGTCCATGGTGGTGCTCTGGTGCCAGAGTTCACCCCACCCGGGAAACCCACTGGTAAAAGAGATCTCAGAGAAACACTGGCTGACCAGAGTATTACATCCCCTCCTCCTTTTATTTATTCGCCCCCCCCTACTCAGAGGACATGCATTTCTTGAATGTAAAGATTGTGCTGTTCATGCAGGAGATGGATGTGATTATGTCTGTCCTTTCTTCATCTTTGTGTTTATACTTGTTACAGGCGAGCGCATAGCAGTGGAATATTTATTGGCCCAGACCAACCGAGGTGACCTGCTGGCTCCATGGCAGGTCTCTGAAATCCCCTGGCAGGTGTTGGAGGAGGAGGACGAGCCAGATGACACCATCAGCATGCCTGACATGGTCTGCCAGTCAGCTGAGACAGGGGCTGCTGATCCTCCAAGTGCTGTACAGGGGGACACTGAAGCTGGACCCCTCGTTACAGAGGTTAATAACACTTTCTGTAACACGTTATACACAATATTTAGCTAAAGTAAATGTGGTTACATTTTAATAAGTTGAATTAATGTCAAATCAGCATTGCTCACATATTAGAAACAAGAGGCTACATCTACTTGCTTGTTTTTTCCTCACTTTTCAGACCAGCCAACGTGACTCCAGGGGCGTTTTGGGATGGGAAGCAGTTGATGCCCTTGCAGCCTACCTTGTGGACCTGAATCGTACCATCACCGCCTTGTCAGCCAAGGAGGAGGCAGAAATAGTCCACCGGTACACAGCTCTCCACGCCATGGACAAGACACCTTCAAGGTACAAAATAGTCATTATTTTGTACAGCTAAATTAAACATACATTCCATGGAATGAATTAAGCATATGGATGTCTCTTTCACCTTTTAGATACACCCAGAAGGCTAAAAAGAAAGCACGTGCTTCTGGAGGACCGTGGAGAGCACCCAGGAAGCCGAGTGGCTCTGCTCCTGGACAGCAGGCGGCCGAGAGGTACCTGACCACAATTTGCCATCATTTTGGTTCAATACAATTCATTGATTAAGAGACGGCACGTGTCACTGTGAAAGGCATTTGTTAATTGTAGATTATTTGTCACAATTCCTATTGACATTTTCACTCGGTTCTTCCCGACTTTACGTCATTGTTCAGTCCAGATCATATCATCCTTGTCTCCCACAGACTGTACATGACTCACGGCCAAGCAGCCCAGGACCCGGAAGCACACAGGGTCAGTGAGTGTGTTTGCCTCAGACTCGCCAAAGAGTTTGAGCAGCCACGCAACAGGCCAAAGGACACAAAGGGGAAAACCATGCCCATCCCTCAGTCCATCGTCAGCGTCTACAGCCACATCAGGCAGTTGCTGGAGGACAGCAGGGCTGTCCTGGACCAGACAAACCTGGTTCTGGTGCCGGTTAACAACACCACAGTCTCTTCATGGTATGTGTCATTTCAGTTAGCTTTCCCATACAGTCAGGACAGTACAGCAAGATTTAACCTCAAGAAAAACCTCCACCTGCATGCATGTAATAACCGTAGGGAGGGAGGAGGTAGAAAATAATGCATGTTTGTCTTGTAGGCTGCTTAGGAGGGATAAGAGGAAGGACAGAGACATGCTGCTGCAAGGCACTGTTCTTCCCAAACAGCTGCACCTGGCCCCTGAGCCTCTCCCTACAAGTAGCACACTCCCTGCTGCCCCTGTGCAACATGCACATGAAGAAATGACTTTTGAGGAGCCTGAAAACCGTGAGGGGGAAGCTTTCCCCCGCCAGCGCACTCTAGCAGCCAACAGACCCGCGTCCTCTCCACCATCTCCTGCTCCCCAGCTCCCTCCCCAGTTTTGGCCAGCTTCTCCATATCCGCACTTTCCATTTCCACATCCTCCTCCGTCGTTTAATTATCCTCTTTCATTCCCCTATGCTCCTCCATTCCCCTATGCCCCTCCAGTTCAGCAAGCTCCTCCTCATCCACATGCACCTCCTTCTCCTGATGCCCCTCCAGAGAAGCCAGCTCCTCCAGAGTGCCCCCCATCCCAGCCAAGACAACGTGCCTGGAGGCTAAATAAAGCAGCCCAGGAGGATGAGGAGCCAGTTTCAAGGGGGGAACCGCCACGGAAGAGGCTGGCAAAAGAAAAATACCACTACACCTGCAAGGTGTGTGGCCAGGACAAGAGAAAAAGGACTGGACACACCCAGCTGAAGGGACGGTGGTATTGTCCTGCCTCAGGACAGACCCAGGATGACTGGAGGAAGAGTTTGTAGTTTCTGTCTCTGTTGTTTTTCTATCTGTCTCTGTCTGTCGCAATAAAGTTTAATAATTATATTTGAGCCAAGAACAGCCTTGACGTTTTCATTTCATTTCTTGAATACCAGGACGGTGGGTGTCACCTATTGAATGTGATTGTTAAAACTAAAGCCAGAATTACTTGCAGATTAATTTTACATTTATTTGTAAAATCCAATACTCTTTGCTCAATTTGGAATATACTTTATTCACTTGTGCTGCACAGTTGTAGTCTTCCAAGTAATTGAGCTTACCAAAAGGAGAGCAAAAATGATGGTGGAGTTATTTAAGTTTACAGTTGTACTCTGTAAAATTACTACATTACCCAGAATGCATTGCACGCGGACTTCCTGAATGCTACAAGACAAGTGAACAAGTGAAGATGCAAATGGTGATTTTGCCACAGCACAGGTTCGAATCTTGCTAGAGACACGAAAGTTAACGTGATGATAAAGCTTGCAATAAGTGCAGAACTGTGTGTCAACAATTTTTAAAAGAGAAAGGAGTAAATAAAAATGTAAATAGTGCAAGTCTTCCTCCTTTTTTCTCTTTTTCTCTTTCTCTCTTTCCCCCCTTCTTTCCTCTCTCTTTTTCTCTTTCCCCCGGCCGGGCAGTCCGTTTTGCCCCATTTTTGGCCGAGTGGTTAAGGCGATGGACTAGAAATCCATTGGGGTTTCCCCGCGCAGGTTCGAATCCTGCCAACAACAACTTTTCTGAATACATGTATGGATATATACAGCTCGGCCAATACTTGCAATAGGATAAGCTCACATAGTAAAATCAGCCACACAAAAGAATTTAGGCAACAGCTTAGATAGCTCAGCGGGTAGAGCGGAGGACTGTAGATGTTCAATGACTGAAATCCTTAGGTCGCTGGTTCAACTCCGGCTCGAAGGAAGGTGTTTTTCTTGTTGCTCAGTCCACAGCATACAGACAACTTCTATAAAAACTGTTATTACCCTGATTTCTCCTGTCAATCATTTCATACAAACCACTAAAACACTGTGTGAGCTCAGTGGTTCCCTAAGAGTCAGTGTCAGCACCAACAACACCAAAACATTATTCTGATGAGGATGGATTTTATTAAACTGTAACTGTAACTGTAACTGAGCTTAACTGTTCCACTGCTAAACTGAATCAGCTCTTACTTGGTTTTCTTTTTATAACCAGATCAAAATATGTTTAGACATGAGAAAAAGAGACGAGGTGACCGAGTGGTTAAGGTGATGGACTGCTAGTCCATTGTGCTCTGCATGCGTGGGTTCAAATCCCACCCTTGTCGGAGAGACGTTTTGGTAATGTGAGTGCTGACCTCGGACACTTAGGGATGGTTCACTGAACTCACAGAGTGACGGGAGAGAACAGGGTGATGATAGTTTTTATAGAAGCTGCTCTGCATGTTGGATGGATGACACATCAATCCACTGGTCGCTTATACAGTTATTTTATATCTGAGAAATACCCAAATTGTATTATGTTCTTTATTCTGGTTCCAACAAGCACATCATGTAGATTATAAGGAGGGGGCAAAGAAGGGTGTGCTCACTCAGGATTAAAAAGAAATCAGGAGCCCCACTCAACCAAAGACTGACATCACAAAGGCCCCAATGATATTAAAAAGTGACATCGCAATGGACAGAGTTCCATCAGTTCCAACATTGACACCAAACATTAACATCATTATACAGACAAGTCAAAACATTATGACATAAATATAATAAGTTTTCTCTGCTGTAAAAACACAGCAGTGTTGATTTCATCCATCATTTAATTTCTCAGGGTTCTGGTTGGGCTTTGCGTTTCTGCTGCCAAGTATAAAAACTGGGTTTGACAGATATCTTATCTGGATATATTGCTGAATGATCACCAAGAATGTAAGAATTAATGAAAAAAATCATTTGTACACTGAGCATAATGGACAGCTTTTTGAGTGGGCTCCTGTAAAGCACTTTTGATTTTAAAACCAGTTCCACTGAGACTTGAACTCAGATTGCTGGATTCAGTGCGATGACCTTTACACCTTGGAACCCTTTAGCTTTTATTGAGTAACAACCCTCTACCAGGAGAGCATTTATCACCATCCTGCCTCTATGCTATACTGTAGAATACGTTGATATTGGTAACAGGCTTTAAATAGCTGGAAATACCTCAGCTGGGAGTACATTGCATGTAGAAAATGTTTCATTTCAGGTCATTTCCACTCAAGTGGGAGAGAGTTAGACTGAAAATCCAAAGATCCTGTCCTTTTGCAGACAGTAGACGGGAACATTGTACTTTGTTAGCACTCCTTGTCAAACTACTGTCTTCAAAACTCTTCAAACTTTATTGTTATATAGCTCTAATATGGAACGAGAAGCTTTTATTCAGGGTAGTAAAACAGGCCGGTTAGCTCAGTTGGTCAGAGCGTGGTGCTAATAATGCCAAAGTCATGGGTTCAACCCATATACTGGCAACATAGTTATGAGTTTGTAGAACTTGTATGAAAAATGCCTTGAAACATGTGCTTTTCTGAAAAACCTCAGCCTACAGTTGTTAAAAAATGAGTCTCTTTTTCTCATGTGCGTCCTGGACCATGACACAGATGCCTTATTAAACTGAGTGTGAAGTGTCTTCTTC